TTGAAAATTGATGGTCTATATAATACATTACAAGATGCACTATTTCCAAGATTTGAAGTCTTTTTTTTTTTTTTTAGCAAGCGTGTATCTCAAAGTCAAGATGATTAGTTTTGAGGGTTTTTTATCATTAAAACAGCTTCGTATATTAACTTTTTCCTTATTTTTATTGTTCAAAGATTACTACATATGTACTAAGGAGCTCCAAATTCATGAATCCTAAGAGAATATATTTATGGTGATTGAAGTTGTGCTTCGAGTCTTATGTCTCTCCTAACAAAAAAGGACGTAAGATTTAGCCCACTCACCAAATACTTTTATATTAGTATAACTTTTTCATATATTCATGCGGGCTGGAACACATTTCTACATATGCGGTCCAAAAAGTATAAAATATCCATATTAAAGATGGATGTAAGTAGGTGTTCCCTCTAAAAACAATGGAAACTAATGGTCCAAATGTTTTCTTACTAGAATTTTATTTCTAGTTTTTAAAATTATTTATTTATATTCATGTTCTCCAAGTTAGAGATTGTATGTCCTTAGAAATTAAGTCGTAAAATGCATCTCAAAAATAGATTTATTAAGAGACCCATATTTCTACATATTCGGGCTTGGCTGCATAAAAACCGAGTCCTTCATATAAAGATACTATAATCTTATGCAATTCAATTATTTATGGAAAAGTGTACTTAAACTCCATCTTTTTCATATCGTCCGAATGATTCTCTTATTTAATCATTGCAATCAATTATATTAGTGCCTTTAATATTAGTCTAAAGGTGTTAAGACTAAATTAAATCCGTATTTTCCCTAGAGGTGTATGTTAAAATGGGTATGACATGGGGAAAATCTATCCAGCTATACAACAATGCTCAATCACATTGTGACCGGTGAATACCAAACTATGCATTGCTTTGCACACAAAAATGCAATGAAAAAGACTGTTTACTCTTATTAAAAGAAGAAGACAATCGACTCTCATGTGTAAAATTGGACAGCCCTGGCCCAACCTATTTTTTCAAATTATTTATGAGTTAATTTTCTTAAAGTATTATTGTTAGTGGGAATGAAAATCACAACCTGGTGAATAGAGGGAGTGGGGTGCTACCCCTATTTGGTCTTCAACCAATTGCAATCATTGGATAGCTTAAAGGGTGTGGTTTGTATAGAGCCTAGGCTGTAAACAATCAAATTAGAGCAGACCTTCAAACAGTATCGAGAAATGTGGTTTCAATTTTGAAAATCTTTGTCGTAATCTTAAAATATATTTGTATCTTTATTTATAAAGTTTAAAGCTTTCAAAATAGTGTAAATATATAGATCTATGAAAACTTAAAAATCTTGAAAATTGATGGTCCAAAAATACGTTACAAAATACACTATTTTCAAAACTTGAAATACGTCTATGCATCTCGCCGTGGAGATGATCAATTTGAGGATATTTGGGCATCAAAACAACCTCTTCTAGTGAAAAGTTTGAGGTAGGCTCTAATTTTATTGTTTAGAACCTCAACTCTATATAAACTTTTCCCTAACCGGAAATTCTAGGGAAGATGATATGAATTAAATTTCAAAATAACTAATTATTAAGAAATGTGGTAATCATGTGGAGCTAATATCAAGAAATGTCTAAAACAGGGAGATTATCTAAGTTCTCTAAGGGGGCTTTAAGAACCGTTGACTAAACAATATTTGACTGGGACATGCGTGGCATTTTGAGTTATTGGGAGGGCAAAGAAAAGGCCGCTTTATCAAAATTACTGCACGAAGGGGAATCATTCTGTTAGCCCGGGTTGTGCATGCGAATCCGGGTGGTTAATTCCACACACCCTTTTATATATATATATATATATATACCTGTCCCTCTTTATGCACTCTTTACATTTCACATTCCTCTCTCTTTCTCTCTCTCTCTCTCTGCACAATTCACATTCTCTCTCTCTCTGCACAATTCACATTCCTCTCTCCTCTCTCTGCACAATTCACATTCCTCTCTATTCACATCTCTCTCTCAGTCTCTTTGAGGAAACTACAATTATATCCCCCTCTCTCTTCTTTCTTTGAGTCTCTCTCTTCTTTCTTTTTGTCCATGGTCTTAATCTCTCTCTCTCTCTCTTCTTTCTCTGTATGTGGAGTTGAAGCCTGCTTTTTGGAAAGTTTGGAAGATGGAAGACTTGATCTCTTCATGCTCTTCCACGGCTTTCTTGAACATGGCGCTTAGACACCACTTCCACAGGGTCCTGTGAAAGCAAAGCTAAGTAACAAGCTCAAGAAAGCTGTGGGAAAAGATGAAAAGAATCATAGAAAGCCATTGCACGTTTGAAGGCGAAGAGAATTTCTCAGGAATTTCATAATTATTGGTTTTACAGGTGAGTATGAAATGGAGGGAGAGAGAGAGACTCAATAATGGGATGAGATGGAGAGAGAGAGCCCACTCAGTAATGGGTTGAAAAGCGAATGTGTTTTGTTCGGGGCTGCAAGAATTAGGCATAATTTGGAAAATTCGGAGATCCCAAAGCCAGAATGCAGGGCAGTTGGCCATAAACGATTTTTAAAGGAAAATAAGAAAAAGCAAAAAACCAAAATTGGAGCAATGTGGTATTGTTTAATTAGTCCATTAGTTTTGCAAATTCGAAAAAGAAAAATTAGTTTTATTTTATTTTAGTAGAGAGAGAATGAATGTTGGTGAAGATAAGGAAAGCGGGTTGATATTTATAGGGTTGTTTTGTTAATTTCAACAATTTTATTTTGCTCATTTCTGTCTTTTTGAATGTTAGTATAACTTTATATTCATGATAGAATTGATGAGCAATTATTGCAAGTTATGCAAAAAAAAATTTGATGTACAATTATAGGTATTTAGAAGTTATACAAAATTGAGTTGAGTTTGGGTGGGAAGGGGTTAAGAAAATGGTTGATTGAATGACAAAATTGCTCAAAGGGTCGGGATCGAGATCGGGATCAGGATCGAAATCGGGATCGGGATCGCGATCATCCTTCAGGATTTTATCAGAGGTGCATCCGGAGAGTCCAATATATCTCAGATTGCCTCGATGATGTGCCCAAACACACATGGGCAATAATTGTTCAACGATTCACCTACTATGGTCATTTTATAAAAAATTTGTCCTTGAATTTTATGTTTTTTATTTCCCGATGAATAAACTAGTTAAATTCTAGACCATTAAGGTCATGCTTAAAGTTTAGAGAACCTACACCATGTTCCTGAGAATCCACAAATGGGCTGATCAAGAGGATTTTATTAAGGAAGAAGTTTATATACATCCGAGGCTCTTAACAATCAAATTAAAGCCCACCTCAAAAATTTTACTAGAAGAGGTTGTTTTGGTGCCAAATAGCCTCAAAGTATCATCTCGACATAAATATGTATGGACATTAGAAAAAAATAATAATTCAAGTTTTGGAAATAATATATCTTGTAATGAAAAATATTTAAATTTTATAATTATAGATAAAAATATATCTACGCTATTTTTAAAATTTTAAAATTTATAACTATAGACAAAAATATATTTTAAAGCTATCACAAAGATTTCCAATATTAAAACCACATTTCTCGACACTATTTAAAGGTGCGCTTTACTTTGATTGTTTAGAGCCTCAGCTCTATACAAACCACACCCTTTTATTAATACGCAATTATGGCACCCAATCTATAGTCAAGCCCATTTTCAAAAATAAAAAATATTTCCAATACTTAAATTCTAGAACTAAAAATCCTAAAGATGGGTATTTTCAAAAATAGAAAAAGATTCTGACTTAGTTTCTATAAAATATTGGGTGGACTTAGTTTCTGTAAAATATTGAGCAGGATAGTTGAGGCTAGTCACTAATTAAATGTACCAAGAACACAATGACATACATTGAAAAGAACACTATGAAACTATTTATTTTTTAGACAAGGTTACAATCACCCATGGAAGAGAATATGACATTGACCATTTATTTTTTATACAAAAAAGTCACCATCACCTATGACAGTTAGATATGAAATCAAGCCGCTCGAATTGCCGTCAATTGAGCTGAGAGTGAAAAAAACGATTTCTCGAGCTTTGTCACACACCCCAAACCATCAGATTTCACGCCTTAAACTCTTAAACTAGAGGCGACTGCGAGCTTCTTATTACATGGGTAAACATTATTGCAATATACAATCCTGAAATACAAGTCTGAATTGGAGGGGGGATCCTTCTTCCTTTGCTTTCTTTCTAATAGCATTCCTTCTTGGGTTAAGTTTAATCTATTGCGATTTGAGACAATGCAGTGCATACTTGAGATTTATGAGAGAGAATAAGGATTAATTACTATACATTCTTAACGTAGTTTTTATTCCAAGCCAAAATTCCTTTAATATTTGAGAAAAGTTAATAAATTGGGAATAGCTTAGAAGCGCTTATAAACTGAAATTTTGCAGATCCTATATTTGAGAAGTAAGCAAAATTTTGAACTTTTTGAGTTCTTGAAGGCCTAGATTTATTATCCACCAAATGGATGGCTTGCATTTACCGAAAATAGCGGACTTGTATTTTCCCATCTTCTGTGCGAATTCAAAATTTTCTGTTATTTTGATCGCCAGATAAGACCAAAGTGCGTGAAAAATTGTGGGATCCAACACTCCAACTTTTCAAAGTGGCTCATGATATAACATTATAATATAAGCACATTGTCCTATATAATCTGTACGTAAATTGATATATATATATATATATATATATAGCGTATTTGCTGGCGATCACTGTTTTCAAACGCAGAGAAATCTTTTCGTAAAATGTGCAACTCGATCCAACATCCGTTAGATTTTCTTTTTTTCATCACAGCCATTGGGCGCATCTCAAAGGGGTAAGCGAGCGGGCTAACCCCATACTTTCCTTATATATATATATATATATATATAAGTACTATTGTCTGTATAATCTGTTACGTAATAGAGAGAGAGAGAGAGAGAGAGAGAGAGAGAGAGAGAGAGAGATTTGCTCAAATAGAAAGAAGCAATTAAGCAATGAGTGGTGACATTAAGAAACGAAGTATTGATTTACAAAAGAGAATATGAGAAACGAGTAGGATTTGAAATAAATGATTGATAAAAGAGTTCTATCAACAACAGTAATAGGAAGTAGAGACAAGCCTCTCCGAAGATCTATCCACCACAATCATCCGGCTGGGCTGCGTGGGATTGGCTTTTGGAAGTCTTCGAGCTGCAAGGTTCAGCATCAAAGAGAAACAAACACCAGTGTTATCATACTGAAAACTTCTTTGTCTTGGTTTTTTTCTATTTCACTGATCTTTTATTTGGACGATTAGAAGAATATTCAAGCAATCATGAAATGATTTAAATCCAAGGATTTCTCTATCTTCTTGGTTTTTTTCTATTTCAATAATCTTTTATCTGGACAATTAGAAGAATATTCAAGCAATCATTTAATGATTTAAATCCACGGCTTTCTTTTGACTTTTTAATGGTAGGAATGCAAACCTTGGCGTTGTGTTGTGGATCCATCACCTGACCACCCAAGCCAAGGGCGTATTCCTACCAAGAATTTCCGTTTTTGGGACAGAACAAAGCTCTGTGTGTGCGTGAGAGAGAGAGAGAGAGAGAGAGAGAGAGAGAGCATTCAAAGGGGGAAGGAGGGGAAGTGTTGTGGTAGGTTCAGAAATTGTATTCTCTATCTAGCTCCAAAAGCAATTCCAGAACAGAAAGAAGCAGAGTAACTAGGTCGAACTCCTAGCTAATTAGTTACTTACCAAGCATAATCTAATTTTTCTGCCGCGAAATCCCTTGTATTTGAAGTTAGGGAGGCCCTTAAAAATTAATTCAAAGTTATTTAGGGCCCTTTTATGGTTTAGGTGCATGTAGGACATGTGATCTGGTATTTGATGAGTTTTGCCATGTTAAAAAGGAAGTCCACAAAATTCATGTTATAGAGGATAAGAATGAGACTTAAGCATTATTAATCATTCTTAGAAGTGTTAACTTTAAAAGCCTTCTTTTAATTGTAATATAATAGATATCTTAATTAATCGATCTGTTAACTTCAATGTAGAAGGATGTTGGGTGTGGTTATTTAAAAGACTTTCCTCAAGGAGAACTTTGCCTACCTATCTCGAGGAACAACTCATTTACACCCTGCGCTGTCTTCGCAGATGTTTCCAGAAACAAAAGCCCATTGTCTTGGGCATATGTTTGGGCTACCTGCAAAGGCAATACCCGAAAATCCTTTCACCTTTGAAAAGTACAGTAAACCAAACTGTAACAGTCATATGAGCTAAGCCACTACCGAAAATAAATGCAAGAACACTGAGGGACAGGTGAAAACAAAAAAATTCAATTCAATAAGGATCCAAAATAAGGACTCTGGAGACTGGGTGTTTCAACCATTTCTGAGGGATTTGTTGCACAGTCTGTGTGTGTAAAGGCACGGTTTGTGCATGTGTGTGTGTGCATGTGTGCGAAAAGGCACAGTCTGTGTGTGTGGAGAGAGAGAGAGAGAGAGAGAGAGAGAGAGAGAGAGAGAGAGAGAGAGAGAGAGAGAGAGAGAGAGAGTAGAAGTAAGAAGTAAGTAAGTAAGTAAGTAAGTAGTAACGTAACGTAAGTAACGAATACGTAACTAACGTAACGTTTACGTAACGTAACTAACGTAACGTA